ACCTAGTGATTTGAGGCCTGTGACTTGAACTAGGGGCTTGTGAGCACGAGCGGGTTTGCTACCGGGGTACAGCCCTACCTTGTAGGGGTGTTTTAGGAAGAGGTGTTTGTCTTATTTATTGTGTGGTGAGAAGGGGAAAATGTTAACTTAGGAAACATCAGCATGAGTCATGCTTCATGTGTATACAACACGTCTTCATCGTAATAAATTAGAAGCATTTATCATAATTAAAGAATGTTATTTTAAAAAATAAAAATAAAAATTATCACTCAATCAATCGTTGATCATTCGTGTCGTTTCCAAGTTCATAATTCATCTCTGTCGTATTTTTGTTGAGTTACGTAACGTATACTCTCAAGGTGCACTGTTAGCTCAGCTTGTTTCATGCCGGACTACGATGGAGCAAAGATTCGACCGTATTTATGGAGGTCCCCTACTGCCCCAAAATAGAGTCCCCTCTATGCTTGAGAGAGTTGTATTGCGGTTGGTTAGAGGGCTCAACTGGTAGGCTGGTATTTGAATTTCCTTTCTTTCTTGCTTTTTTACAATCTGTTTCTTCCCCCATGTGTCCTTACTCTAATCCAAAACCAAGAGCCATATTGACCGTTACAACATGCATGGGCAAACTGCAGCCCGGGGGCCAGATCCGTCCTGAGACTTGGGCACGTGCGGCAGTACGACTTAGGCTATACCCTGCCAGGTACACGTACAGAGTCGATGGGCTCAGTCTGTTGGGCATCAGCTATAGAAAACAAGAAGTTTAGGTTTCAGTTCTGCCTGTTTCTAGGGTTGACTTTTGTTTTTCCCTTGGTCTTGGTTCAAAAATTTCTACTGGAGCGGAATGGGTCAAGGAAAAAAAGGAGGGAAAAGGGGGGGAGGGGTGAAGTTGGAAATGAATGATTTATTCTAACTCATGTTGTACTGAAGTCAAGAAGATTTGATTCATTTTTGTGTCCTGATTTGGTGCTGTTATTTGTGTTAATTACATACAGTATTGTTAACACGGTACAGATTGTTATGCTTTAAAAACACACACAAGAAAATGGAAAACTGTTGAAGCCAGGAAGATTTATTTTAAACTATATTTTCACAAATGTCTCTCTCTCTCTCTCTCTCTCTCTCTCTCTCTCTCTCTCTCTCTCTCTCTCTCTCTCTCTTTCTCTCTCTCTCTCTGGAGACTCTCCTTAAGTGAGCTGGCTCTTCCGCGTGGGCAGGTGGCCCCTGCTTCAGTTCTGTGGACGACACAAAAGGGAAATTCTCTCAGACTGATGACAACATTGAGGTTTGGGAGGACGGGGTAGGAAAGGAGAGGAGGGAGGGTTTTCACAAGCTCTCACACAAAAGCACTCAAGGAGATTACTAATACCACCCCCCCACGGACACCTGTCACCCCACATAATTTTATCACTCCCTGCACTTCCCCCCAAAAACATTCCTCCTCCCCCCCCCCCCCCCCCTCCCAACCAACACACAGAAATAAAGTAGTAACAACTAACACCAAACAAATCATCAGCAATATTTTTTTAACACACTACAAAACAATAATAACGCTAAATAAACAACAACACTCCCCCCCTCCTCAACAATATGATTTAAAAAATACTCTACCTAAAGTCTAAAGCAAAATCGAGAACGAAACCCACCACCTCCATAAATACTCAATAAATACACAAAAATTAACCTCATTAGACACAGACACACACACACACACACACACACACACACACATACACACACACACACATACACTCACACACACACACACACGTACCTATCCCACGAGTCTGTTGAGGATATAGTATTGCAAAATTGCCTGCGTGTTGATCCCTCCCCCGAAAACCCCGTTGTTGTTGTTGAAAGCTCCCAAGTTCCTCAGGACGTTGGCGGCGATCAGAGTCTGGAACAGTCCACTCCGGGCCTCCAGGGGAGGCAGCTCCACAGCCTCCTCACTGGTCACTTCTGTGGCCGCTTCCTCACCTTCTGGGATTGCTGATGATACGGTAGAAGAGGGGATGGCGGAGGCGAGGGGATATTAATTAATTTATTTCATTCATTTATGTATTCTTTTATTGATTTATTTGTTTATTTTTTTCATTTTTTCATTTTTAAAATTTCTTAATTAATGTGTTATTTACAGTGCGTTTATTTTTTGTTTTTTATTTTTGGGTTGAAAAAAAAAGGGCGGGGGGGGGGGGGCAAAGATAGGCATGATATTATGCTATGGAATGAGAGGAAACAGTTTGGTAAGCCATACGCTACAGTGTTTTGATATGGAAGAAAAAGATACTGTAAATGCTGTTTCATACGATTACAAAACATTAGTTTTTGTTACAGAAAGAAAGGTTTCTGTAGGGAAAGTCATGTGCGGCTTTAGGCTTTGATATGGTACGAGAAGGTACCGGTACTATCAAGGTTAGTCGCAGCGCTAACCAGAACAGCTATGACGAAGTAAAACATGCAGACACTTTGACAACAACAATAATAACAATAATAAAAGGAGCAACAACAACGACGACGACAACAACAACAACAACAAACAACACAGCTACAGCAAAAAATCATTACCAGTACCAGTGGTTGAATATTCAGGCGGGACTACAGTTGTCAGGTCGTTCAGTCCGGAGTCACTTTCCGGAACTGGAACTGCGAGGGTCAAGGTCATAAGCATAGCGCATGCGCTCACCACGGATAGTTTACACATTCTGAGACATGGAAAAAAAAAAAAAAAAAAAAAGATTATTTAACCGACAATGTATCTATTCCGCTGTATTTTGTTATTATTGGCTTTTTTGTTTCGATTCTGTTTTGTTTTTGGTTCTTTTAATCTCCCCATTTATTATGTAATTGTAAAATGTTTTACAGCCCCTCTGATTCTATTTGGATCATTCGACCCTGTCCGTAGGCCCTGGGTCATTTTGTAACCCCGGGATTGTATTCTTCACCTTTTAGAATACTTCTAGTAATAAGATCTCTTTGAAACTTTCAGTATTCCTCCAAAAATTATTGAGACAGAGTGCTATTCAAAGCGTACGGATGAGATTAACGAGTAAATTTCCTCTTTGGAAAGTGGTGGCAGAGAGTTCCCCACGTCGTATGGATACGATAGTAAAACACGACGTACGGATAGTGCTAAAAGTAAAAGGCAGGCTTCATTTGTTGATGCCTTGAATTTTCTCTCCCATACATGTCTGTGTTTCTCTCTCCCTTACCTCATGTACTTATTTACTACTATGTTCTGTTCTCTGTAATTTGTGGGAATTTTTAGAGTAAACGGATGGCAATGCTGTCCTATTCTTATCACAGTTATTGTTATTGTTGTTGGTGGTATTCTTGTTATCGTCGCCGTAATCATTGTCGTCGTCGTCGTTGCTGTTGTTATTGCTGTTGTTGTTGTTATTGTTGTTGTTGTTGTTGTTGATGTCGGTGTTGTTCGTGTTCTTGTTGTTTGTGCTGCTGATGCTGTTGCTGTTGTTGTTGTTGTGGTTGTCGTTGTTGTTGTTGTTGTTGTTGTTTTTTGTTGTTTTTATTTTTATGTTGTTGCTGTTGTTCTGGCAAAAAGTGGGTGGTTGGCGTGTGCCCTGGTATGGTTTCTTCTTTCTTTCCTATCAAACATCTGTCATCCCCATCATTCATCCGTTTTGTGTTTTGTTACTCTCTTGTAACACCTATAATCTTCGGTACTTATATGACCTAATTGTGTTGCAAGTGCCGAAATTCTCTTAATAAAGCAAGACATTCGGTTTGTTGTTTTCGGGTTGTTTTTGTGTGTGTGTTGTTGTTTGTTTTTTTGGGGGGGTTTGTTGTTGTTGTTTTTTAGGGGGGGGGGGTGCTGTTTTAGAGAAGCAGTCGCAGGGCAATAGACGTTACTCGTGTTGTTGGAATTGTTAATGTTATCGTTGTTGTTATTGTCATGTCTTGTTGTCATTGCTGTTATCGTTGGTTTTGCTTCTCATAATGTAGTTTGATGCTGTTGTTGTTGTTGCGTTCACCATTGGTACTGTCGTTTATGTGAGAGCTGTTGTTGTTTTTTTCACTAAAATTACATATCTGGAAAAAAAGCTAAAATTCCTCAATGCGCTATCAACACAAGAACAAAGTTACCTGACTGGTGATGGTTCCAACGAGTTGTCTGGTTTGGAGATGTCGACTTGTCTACTCAGGCAACGACTACTGACTTGTCCGAGCTCTGTGTATGTGTCGGAAAAGCTCTCTCTCCCTCCGCTTAATATACTAGGTGAGGCAACTATCGCTGCGTCATTTTTTTAAAGAGCAGCCAATCACGACGCTTGGGCAAACGTCAGCACGGCCAATGAATGCACTGTGTAAACATTCGTAAATATTCCTGGCCACGCCCCTTTTCCTTATTCAAACCATCGACCCCCCCCCCCCCCCGCCACCACTACCCGCCCCCTTTGAACACGGTTGAATTATCTTACTGAATCACAACCTCTAAGTAATCTATCTAGAGCGTAGATAAAATAAATTTTGTATAAATGTAGTGTGATGTGCCTTAAGCTTGCCGTCGAGCAAGGATATGCGCCGTAAAAGTGCTATGATGATGATGATGATGATGATGATGATGATGATGATGATGATGATGATGATGATGATGATGATGATGATGATTAGGATTAGTATTATTACCATTAATATTATTATTAATATTGTTAATATTATTATTGTTATTATTAATATCAATACTTTTTACTATGACCCTACTAACGTCCCAATGTTTACCAAAACCCTTCCCAAGCTCTTTGTCAAGACTCGTTTCCCTTTGATGTTCACACTCCATCGAGGACAAGCAAACAACTTCGACCTCGCTGAGCGAGGATTTCTAAAAAAAGATCTCATCTTTAGCGTTCTACACTGTGGAAATAAATCTTATTCCATTATAAAAAGTAAGCAAACGAATAAACAACTCATCAAGGAAAGACAAGTTAGAAATATTTTGAAATTGTCTTGGGATCTAAACTGAAAGAACGCTTAACATTTCCTCCAAACAAAAAAACGCAAGTAGACACATCGAGTGAGAGAAAAGTGAAGGTTGATTTTTAGAAATTGTCGAGGGAATGACCTGCTGACCAAGCTGCTGTGGATCTAGCTTTGGCTCGTTCAATAACTGTGCACGCAATGGTTGACATAATTTCACAGCGTGATCACACTCGCAGATCGGGTTTTTTTATATTTATCTAGAGGGAAGATTTATTTTGCTGCTTTTGTTTTCACCTTCAAAAAGGCCATACACCTCGCTTTTTTCGACAGGCAGTCACTATAATCATTATTTGGGAGTAAGTGGAGTTCTTGCTTTAAACCACGCCCTCAAAGACCGCTAAAACGTATTGCTCGAGAACTTTGAGGGCTCAAAATTTGGATCAATTTTGATTAACGAACCGGGAACGGGTTTTATGTCAGTGAAGAGCATTTGCAGGTGCATTTAGATGACGTATTTTGCCCATGATTCTTTCCCCGGAGGAGCTAAACAATTTCAGACCTGTCTCCAACTTTCCCTTTTTATCAAAAAATCTTGGAGAAAGTTGTTTTGGTTCTATTGAAGAATCATTTAAAAGAAAACAATTTATATGAATTATATCAATCTGCCTATCG